AAAAAGGGGGGGGGGGGGGGTTTGACCCCAGAAGATCCCCAGATCAAAAAAACCCACACAAATAAAAAGTGGGGCAGAGCACGTGGGGGCAGCATGCGCTGCCCAAAACCAGAGCAGCAGGATTGCTGAGGCTGCAGCTCCCTGAGGCCCCCAGGACCCTAGGTAAGGCTGCTGGGGCTTGCACAGTTGCTGGCCCCAGCCTTCCCTACCCCACCCAGGGAAATACGCCGCATGCCAGAGGGTGCGTGGCACAGGCGTTCCTTGGAGACAAGTAGCAGTGGCGCCAAGCTGTGCTGCTGCTTGTCCCCAGAGAAACATGTCCACGCTCATGTGGACACAGCCAAAAGTTACATGACTGTCTAGCTAACACTGCTGCTCATGGAAGACGGAGGAACTCCAAACTCATTCATTTGTCACTTGGCATACTAGGGTGTTCTACTGAAATCCCAAAGGCTGGGATGCTCAAGGCAATATTTGGAAAAAAATTGAAGTCATTCACCTTGGGTACTTTAATAAAGTCAGTTCTAAGAGATTGAAAACTATATAACATTTAGAAATGTCAGTATTTTTAAAATCTTCATGTTTTCAAAATGTAGTAGTTTTAACTTCACAGAGGTTTCTTCTGAGAGTGGTGATTAGCTTAGGTACCCGTTTGATCTGAAGTGTATAACCTGATTTTATATTTTTGATTCTCTTTAGGATGGCTGGCTGTGGTGAAATTGATCACTCAATAAACATGCTTCCCACAAACAGGAAGACAAATGAGTCATGTTCCAATGCAGCACCTTCCCTGACCGTCCCTGAATGTGCTATTTGTTTGCAAACATGTGTCCATCCAGTGAGTCTGCCTTGTAAACATGTCTTCTGCTATCTGTGTGTGAAGGGAGCTTCCTGGCTTGGGAAACGATGTGCACTCTGTCGGCAGGAGATTCCAGAGGACTTCCTTGACAAGCCAACCTTGCTGTCACCAGAGGAACTCAAAGCAGCAAGCAGAGGCAATGGAGAATATGCCTGGTACTATGAAGGTAGAAATGGTTGGTGGCAGTATGATGAACGTACCAGTAGGGAGCTAGAAGATGCCTTTTCCAAAGGTAAAAAGAGTACTGAGATGTTAATCGCTGGGTTTTTATATGTAGCAGATCTTGAAAACATGGTTCAGTACAGGAGAAATGAGCATGGACGTCGCAGGAAAATAAAACGGGACATAATAGATATACCAAAGAAGGGTGTGGCCGGGCTTAGGTTGGACTGTGATTCTAATTCTGTCAATCTAGCAAGAGAGAGCTCTGCTGATGGTGCAGACAGTACACTGACTCTGGGGGCCGCGGCTCTGCAGCCTCTTGGATCTGTTTCTGCTAGGCCCCTAACGTCAGTAGATGGTCAGCCAACGAGTCCTTCAACACCATCACCTGATGCAAGCACTTCTTTAGAGAACTCTTTTGCCCACTTACAAATAAATGGAGACAGTATGGCTGAAAGAAGTCATACAGGAGAGGGAGAGGAGGACCACGAATCATCGTCTTCTGGTAGGGTGCCAGCTCCTGACACCTCTATTGAGGAAACTGAATCGGATGCTAGCAGTGATAGCGAGGATATGTCTGCTCATCTCCAGCCACACGCGTCCTCTGCTCAGCAGAGACACTTGATTGCAAATGCAAACCAGTCAGTAGTGGAGAGACCAGTTGCAGGGGGTGGGGCAGTAAGCACCAGTGTGAGATCTAGAAGGCCTGATGGACAGTGCACAGTAACTGAAGTTTAAATCTAGAGCCATGTGATTAAAAACTCAGTCCTGTATCTGTAAATTTTCTGTCCCTGTTGGCATTGCACTCAAACCGTAGTGTATTTGGAGTGAGATGGGGTTGGTAAGATGAGAAACTGATTTGGCCATTTAAGTTAGGCTTTTTAACATCTCAGCTGGAAAACTCTTTAAATGTAAGAAAATGGGTTGTCTTGTTTATGGTTTGAAAGCTGTTTAACATTACCCAGAAAGTATCACGTGTTTATTTTGTAGCATTTTACCCCTTGGAACTACTCTCTCCCTTTTTGGCCGATGTATATCCACTGTACAACTTGGATTGTCTTCATTATCTGACTGTTGCATTAAGTGTCTTACTACTTTCTGCATGGATTGATGTATGAAAAGATCACTAAAGCAATGTGGGAACAGGACACCATGTTGGGTGTGAGAGATGCTCAATTTGATGTGAGAAAATAGATGTGAGTTTGGAGCTAAAATGTGTTTTTACTAGACAAACAGCAATCATTTTATCTTCTTCCTTAAATGGAAATGTAAAAATGCTATTAACTTCTGTTGCAAATTCTTATCTATAGACACTTCATGGCGTTTTCACTGGCTTTACCATCTAGTCCTTGTAGTTTTGTTTTTGAGGTCTTTCTTGATCTGTCTTGTTTTTGTTACAAAATTTATAATTTAATAAAACTACATTTTATCAGTAACAATCTACGGTCTGTTTGGACTTTGAACTTTATCAGAGGGAAATCTGTCATGAAGCAGCATGCTCTGGTTTGGTCTGGCTTTGAGTGATCTTGATATTTTTGTTCCTAATGTAGTGTGCTGACCGCACCATGGTATGTACATGTTCTTCTGACTGTCTGAATTAGCGTTAGTTATGGGTTTAGAACCTATGTAGTCTCCAGTCAGAGCTGCTCAGGTTTTTCTCCTGGGGTAAATAAAGAAAGACTTCAGGAGAGAAGCGGACAGGCTGTAATTTACATTCAGGAAGATTGTAAGTGTGTGTGTGGCTGTGTACTTAAACAATCAAAAGGTTAAAGTGTTTGGTCCTAGGGCAAAGCTTTAGTTACATTTTAGGGATTACTTTGCTACTTGTTTATGGCATGACAAATCTATTGTCATGTCCTGAATTGGTGGGTACACTTCCAAGGTTTTCCCTTAATTCACAGCGTAGCTCTGCTGTTGATCCCATGTTTGCTTTTCCTCATGTCTTCAGTAAGATTACAGAACTTGAGAAGCTGTGGTTTGAGAGAACTTAGAAATACTGTATTTGCTTTTCATCTTTCAAATTTTATTAGGAAACTATTTCAGTACATTTCAGCCTAGTCTTCGGAGGGAAGAGAAGTAGGGTGTCGTCTGTGCAATAAAATAAAACAGACTAAGATGGTAATAAAGCATCATCCATTAAAATGTAAACTTAACATGCTTAATAAAAAACAGTGGAAAATGCAGCACATTTCAACTAATAGAGAAATATGGTACCTGCAGTGTGTTTTTAAAGGTACAGTGCTTCAGAACTGAGCTGAAGGGTGCACTTTACACGCCAAGAACGCCCTAGAGATTACAATGATGTCCATTCTGAAATTTGTGGATTTCAAACTGTTCTTCTGAAAAGAAAGCCCACATATTTTAAATCTTATCTTGGTATATGTCACAATTCGAGCAAAAATTTATGCCAGGGTAGCTGCTATAAAGTTACACCATACTCCATTGTCCCACTCGGATTCCTTTGTGGAAAATGAAGATGCAGAACATGGGAACATAAGAGATTTTACTTATTTGCTCTCCACTTCTCACCAAAAATTGGTGGCAATGATTAAAGAGCATACTAAGAGTCATTTCTGGAGGTGGAAAGGAACTTATGACGGAGAGTTGGGACACTTGTGAAATGGGGAAGATGTATAAATTGATGAGCTGTGAAAAGGATTCCTTTATAGAATCACAGAACCGGAGGACCTGTAAGATCATCAAGTTTGGTCCCCTGCCGTGGGCAGGAAGTTATTGGGCTCAGACAAGCCTGACAATGTGCCTGTCCAGCCTCATCTTTAACATCTCCAAGGAGGGTGACTTCACCACTTCTGCTGGGTGTGTTTCAGATTCTTGTCTAGCCTGAATTTACCCTCTCTGTTTATGCCCATTGGTCCTTACTTGTCCCCCCAGTGAGGTGCCTTCCTGAAGAGTTGCTCCCCTAGTTCTTAGTGCTTTCAGCTATCACAAAGCAAAGAATTAAAAAAAAAAATTAATCTCTCTGGTTACATTTAATATGGGTAATGGATATGAATTGCACCATAAAAAGGAAAACAAAATGTTTCCTCTTTAATTTTCTTGTTTGGCTTTCAGCTAGTCATTTTCTTGCTACTTATATTTTAATAGAGGTTCTAATGAGGATTGGGCACCCTTGGGCTGTACAAATACATAATGAAACACACTATCCTAAAGAGTTTGCAGGTATTGGTCCTATCTTAAGGCACATACTGAGATGGGCAAAATGCATAAAACAACTTTCAGCGGACCCAGTTCTAGGCTGCTCAGCCAATGAAGCAGCCTATTCCTGAGGATTTTACTAGTGCTTTTCCTTCTCACTCTTGTCTGAGGTAGACACAGGTTTCTATTGAGCAAAACACCCGGGCTGTCTTTGGCTCCCACTGACAGACTGACTGCAGCTGTGAATTCCTCAGTTAATGGGCTATTAAAGCTAGGCTGGGGAGAGCTTATCAGAGGCAGCAGTTTCACTCTCTAGGTCCAGCTCGAAAGAAGCAGCAAATACTAATTCCTGTCTTTAGACATAAGCCATTACCTTCAATGGGAGACTATTTTCCTACCAATTTTAGCTAAGCTGCTCTGTAGCTCAGTGAATTAAGAGATTTGCAACTTGTAAAGGAAGGGTGGATAGATGCACACTACAGCAATTTTTTTGGGGGTGTGGAATATCTTTTAAATGATATAAAATCTCCACTGCATCCGCATAGAGCTTTAGGGCATGTAAGTAACTACAACAAAGGATCCCTGTAGTGTGCAGAAAGTTGTGATGTACTACCCAGGATTCCCCACCTGAGGCTAGGAAGGGCCAGACCTGAAAAAGTTCTCTGGTGCTTGAATTGTTCTTTAGGTATCTATCCCAGCAAGGGATACACCCAACCCTTTAGGCACCTACCATTTACTGTTTTGCCAGAATATTAGCTGGGGCTTTGTGTACATGTATGTGAGACCCAGTATGCAAGGCTAGGTCAGCATAGGCTTTGCATGCAGTGTACACCCTGGATCAGCTCTAGCTTTGCACACCACATACATCATGTACACCAGATCCAGCCTTGTGCACTGCGCAGTGCATGCTAAACCCCATGCAGTGCAGATGACTAGTCTGGCATGCACCCCATGCAGTGTGCAAGACCTGTGAGTAGCACCCTATGCTTCATGGGCTGGATCTGGCCCACAAGCCTTATTTTGTAACACCCTGGCCTAAGTGGAAGACTGGCTGGAGTGGTGTGATCTGAGTAGTCAGGAAGACTGTGCCTCGGGGATACTGTGCCATACTGTACTCTTCTGGCACAGGCTTAGATGGTTGGAAGTAGGCACCTGATGAGGAAAAATGTTCTTCCATCAGACTAATAGCTAGAATACTCAGTGGAAATATGGAAAACCTAGGGTCAAGTCCCTATCCTACCCTAGTAAGGCCAACATGTGAACCCACATCACAGACAAGTGCTTAAGTCACAAAGCTGGAAATTCTGGGATGGTTTTGTATCTGCATCCTCTTTGTGGAGGTGTTCTTTGAACAAAGGATTAAATAGTCTTTGGAGCAGGGATGTGAATCTCCCCCAACTACTGATCTATAAGTTGATTAATATATTTTTACACAAAGTGAAACAGCTGAGAGAGAGAGAGAGAAAATGCCCTCCACCACTGAATAGCCAATGGGCTGGTGCTTAAGACTGTGGACTCCCTTTACATGTGGAACACATTTAAATCCCTGTTTCAGAGCAGGCTTTTAAACTGGGGCATTCCACAGCTCAGCAAGTGCTCTAACACTTAGGTTGTTCTGGGATGGGACTCAAACTGTAACACTGCACTCTCAGCATACCTAGGGATTGAGGACCACATACTGGGAAATGGGTATTTTGATAGTACCACTTCAGAGCCTCTGGGCTGAAGCATGGAGCCAAAAGTTGGGCAGCTTTGTATAGGCCCATCTGCAGAAACTTAGCCAATGAGGGAATTCAGGGGTCTATGATGCTAGACAGCAGACAACCAACAGCTTGAGGATGTCCTGGTACCTACATGGTGGTACCTGGATCACTAAAAAGGCAGATAAATAGGCATCTAAGTATCTTTGAGGACCTGTGTCTAAGTTAGTTTAGTAGCTCAGTATTCTTGAATTTGTGTCCTTTTCACAAAAAAATATTACCTTAATATGTACCCTTGCTTAAATTTTCAGCTGCAGCACCAAAACCTAATGGAAGATGAAAAATAAACCACCCTCTCACCTTAGTGAGGATCTCACCAGAACTAGTTTGAAATCCTTTGGCCACATGCAGAGGGAAACATACTTTCAATCCTCACTCATCCTAAGCTTCATTTCTAGCGTAATCAAGTCAGCACCTTTCACTAGCAATAATATCCATACAAATTAGAAAAGCAATGACTTCAGTCCCATTCTGAGAGCATAGCAGTTCCATCCCAGCACAGCATTTATCTTTAAACATTAATTTCACTAATCTCCATTCAACCTGTGAGTAGGAAAGCAAACAATCTACTGGGGATTTCTCTCTGTGGTAGCACATCAAATCTAACTCCATGGTATGAAAAGCTAGGAATGTTAATTTCAGCTTAAATTAACAAATCATTAAATGGTTCAAATGTATGGCTTTGTTTTCAAAAGATCAAACATGTTTTTCTTATGCATTGATAATTAATCATTTGTGTTTTGGTCTCTGAGCCAAGGCCTGCACATGGGCAGGCCCACCCCATACAGTTCCAAAAATGTCCTTCTCTTCCCTTAGGGCAGCTTCTAGGTGTAGTTCTCTTCCTGCTATGACTACCTTTTTCATAGCCTGAATCACTTCAGCTGGACCCTTTGTATATTGATTTAGCCACGTACAGGCTTCTTCTAAAGATCCAGTTTCATCTGAAGATGGTAAAATCTCCTCAGCAAGCCTGAGACTCACCGCTCTTTCAGGATCCACTTTGAGAGCGCCACTTAGCAGCTTGAGGGCATTGCCACTACCAATGAGTTGTACTAGTCTGGTAGCTCCTCCCCAGCCAGGTACTAAACCAATCTCTTTGTGGACAAATCTAATTTCGCTTCCTGGAGTCATTAATCTGTTGGTAGGAAACAAAAATTCAGTGGTTAATCTCTGTAGTTACTGTGAACCACATTAAAACCAACTTTACTGTTTCTTGTGTCAGAAGTGAAGTAGCACTAGGTAGTGTGCTATTATGGTCAGAGCCCCTTAAACAACTTGTACCTGGATGCTAAACAAGTTCTTTTTTTAAAGGTGCTGCATACTCACAACTACTACTGTCTTCAGTTTGAGATGTGAATAATCACTCAGACCTTCTGGAAACCAGGCATTATATTTCTTAGACTGCACCAGACAAGCAGACCATTTAGTACTATGACTGCTACCTCTAGTCAGAGGTCATTTTTTACAAGTGCTTTAAAGAAAATGAAGTGTGAAGATGCAGTAAGAGGCCTTCGTGCTGACTC